TGAGGTGTTTTTCAGGCTTAGGTGCCCAGGCTGGAGAGCTGCCACAGCTCCCACCAGTATGTCCCTTGTCCTATTCTCCCCACTGTGTGGGAACTCTCACATCCACGCACAATTCTCCTGGACAGTCTCGGGGTATCTTATGATTCTCACAGCGAACAAAGGCACCTGCTCTTTCTTCTTGGCCATCGCCGTTTTCTCTGTTTACTTGGGCTGGCCATGGCGCAATTCCACATTGCTGACACACCCGGAAAGGCTATCCACAGCCCATGTATCTTCCAGAGGACCTTTATATCAGAGTGGACTACAGTCAGTATGAATTTACCTGTGCCTGGGTCCAAAAACAACGCCTGAGGTCAAAGGAATCAGCGACTGTCGTAGGACTGAAGGAAGGGTGGATGTGGTCACCACTACAGGCAATAACACTTGCTGTGGGTTGGGCTGTAGACTTCAAAAGGTATGGAGAAGTCCTAACCACTGGCATCTGTGAATGGAAAGGTATTACAAAATAGAGTCTTTGGCAGTGTACCTAAGATAAAAGTTAAGATGAGACTGTACCAGGGTAGGACGGGGTGTATGGGTATGTATATGTGCACACACACATGTGACTGTGGAGGCCAGAAGAGGGTGTTAGGTGTCCTCACTTTCTGCCTTATTCCTCAGATACAGCATCTCTTGCTGAACTTTGCTGAACTTGGAGCTAGACTGGCCACTGGCTACCCCTAGGAATCCTTTTAGTCTTGTAGCCCTGGGGTTGCAATCATGCCTGACTTTTTACATAGATGCTGGGGATTTGAACTCAGGTCCTCATGCTTGTGCAACAAGTGCTGTTACTACCAAGCCATCTCACCACCTTCAAAGGGTAGAACCTTAATACAGTTGTGAGTAGAGAAGCATTCACAGACCACACAATGGCACCACACACAGACGCACAGAGACCGTCTGTGGCAATGGAGGCAGAAAGTGGAATGAAATGTTCCAAAGCCAAGGGGCAACAAAGAGTTGAGCAATAACCAGGACCAGGACGCAGGCATAGGAGAGAGTCTCTCCTGGGCTCTACAGTCAAAACCAACCCTATTGCCACTTTGATCTTGCACTTCTGAACCCAAGAGCTACAGATGAAAGACCCTGGTCATTTTTACACCTCCAGGCTTTGTGGTAGTCTGGAAATAGACTGCTCCTGCTAGAAATGCCAGACCTGTCAGCTGCTGCTGGGCCTGTGTCCCCAGGGCGCCCACTAGCATAGCAGATAAGTGCTCATTTTGCTTGTATTGGGTCATTTATACTTTTGATCTAGGTACAGTCTGTGAGGACTGGACCCAGGTGACATCTTGGCCTTGTGATGGGGGATGTTCTTCTGTATATATGTTTCTCTTACGGGTTGATGAATAAAAAAAACACTGATTGTCCAGTAGCCAGGCAGGAAGTATAAGCAGGGCTAAGCAATAAAAATTCTAGGGAGAAAACAGAGAGAGAGCCACCAGTGAGACACCATTTAGTCGCTAAAGGAATAACATGCTGGAGCCTTCTCCGGTAAGATAAGACCATGTAGAAATACATAAATTAGTAGTTATGGATTAATAATTAACGGAGAGCTAGCCAATAAGAAGCCTAAGCCATCAGCCAGTTTAATAATTAAAAAAAAAAAAAGGCAGAACAGAAACTCAGTCACAGCCTTGGGTATGTGGACACTGTTAATGCTGTCCTTCACAAACACTTTGGGCTGGACTTTTGACACTTGTCAGCATGAACACTTCAAGAGCATTCCTTGGAGAAGTATCATAGGCAAGAACAGACAAGATCAGAGGCTGGGTATTTCCACCTGGAGGTGGGGGGTGGGATCCAGACTGGCCAACTTGTCTTCAGGTGGCAAGTGCTGGTCCTAATCCAGGAATCATTCCCAAACCTCCTTGGTTAAATACTTTAAAGGCTTGAGGCCAGTTGAACATAGAGCCAGTGAATTATTCCATCCTAAATGCACTGATCTGCAGTGTCCCCCAGCAGCAGCCACACAGGGACTTTGAGAGGAACCCTCAGCCAGCCCTTTGCACGTGGTACTCTGTGTGGTTCACCTGACAGAAAATCCTACTTGGCAAGCATAGGACAGGGACGGGTTCGGCTGTGTAAAGACACTCCACAAGGAAATGACGACAGAAACCACGATGGCATTAGATCTCCAAGGCTATTATTTTTCTCAACCTTTTTCTTGTTCTGAGTGTCCGCCTCTAACCAGAGAAGTCCCAACTCAATGATGAATCCTCCCTTGTTCTGCAAAAGCAGAGCTCCTTCTGGTTTTCCAGTAAAGTCTGCCGCTCCATCCTTTTGTGAGACCGGCGTTGTTTTGGAGCAGTTTTGCCACTGGACATTTCCCCTTAGCCTGGCTGTTTATTCTCCCCAACTTCACTCCCTCAGTCAAGCCTCCATGGAGGAAAGAATGAAAGGTGACACAATTAAACAACTGGGGTGCTTCTGGTAAGATCTTCCTGAATCCCTTGTCTTTAGGAAAATGCTTTTTCCCTTGCCCCACTTTGTGGAGGTGGTGGGCATAGGGGTTGATTTTAGGGCCTTGCATAAACTAGAAAACTCTTATTTCCTAAGCCTCTTTTTACTTTTCATGTTGAGACAGGGTCTCATTACATTGTCCAGGCTGGTTTTGGCCCCCTCTATAGCCCAGTCAGACCTTTAGCTTCCAACCCTCCTGGCTCAGACTCCCATGTAGCTGAGTCTCCAGGCCTACACCGCCAGGCCTGGCTGTTGCCCATCTCTTAGCTTTGAAGAGCAAAGAGCAGTTTCAGGTCTGTAGAAACCTTTGTCTAGATTTCTAACCCTGACCTTTCATTCTGCCACTTAACAGCATGCCTCTAGCCCCAACCCTCAGCCCATCCTGCTGCTCATGTCCTTCCTCCAAACTGCGTGGTTGTTTTTTGATGAATCTCTCCTAAGCTGCTCTCTCCCACCTGGGGGAGGAAGTTGGGAGTCCTCAGTCAGTCTGGAGCTCAGCTTGCCTGTTGGTGACATCCGGATAGCAGATGGCTCTAAGTGCCTTGCTTCCTTCCTCCACAGGTAGATGACTTGGCACCAAGATGCCTTCCCTGCACTGAAGGCTGCTTTGTTCCTTTCTCTTTAAGTATCTAGGCCCCAAAGGAATGATAGTAATCCCAGTGTCCTTGGTAAATTTTCTCCCTGGGGATTGAAGAATTCTTATGTAGATGAGTTACATTTGGCCTGTCTTGGTAGATGACAGTGCTCCCCTAGATAAACAGGCCACCTATGCCAATTCTTAGGCTCAGAGACCTGGGATTTCTCTAGACAGCTTGTTCTTCCTGATCGTGGTCTGAAGCAATTTCAGACTAACATAGTTGCTTTTATAGTAACCCACGTATCTAGCCTGCATGGTGTGTGTGTGTGTGTGTGTGTGTGTGTGTGTAAAGAACTGAGACAGACTTCTGATTGTCCTCCAAAGGCTTTCAAAGACATAACAAATGACTTTCTCTTTATAGTTCCACACACCTCGTCTTTTGCAGGGCAAATGGGTTCTATTCCATCAAGTCACATGGTCAGTTAGAATATCAGGAAGTGGGCCAGTGAGGTAACTCAGTAGGTGATTATTCTTTCTGCCAAGCCAGACAAACTGATGTTGGAACCCACATGGTAGAAGATGAAAATTCAAAGTTGTCCTATGCTGTGGCACATATGTGCCCAAGCACACTATAAAAGAAACATTTTGGAAAAAAAGTCACTTTTAGAAAAGGGATATTGAGAAAAGTCTATCTCACATCCCTGTTCACAGAGAGTCCTATTAACAAGAGAGTGAGCTGGTGGGGTTAGAACTCAGAGCATTGAACCCAATCTCAGTTTTGAGCATTTCTCATCAAAATCAGAATGGGCAATGTACTGCTCTGAACTCCACGGCCTAACCATGAACCATGGAAGCTGCTATGGAATCCACTCAATACAAGTAACACGGAAAATAAGTACAAGAGAAGCAGTTAAGACTGGCATTTGTATACACATGTAAATATATATGTATATAATCAAACAACATTTAATAGCAATGTTATAAAATGTAGCATTTCTTAAAATCCCTCCCTACTTTGCAGATTAGGAAAAGTTACAATATTATATCAGTTACCTTCAAAGTCAGAACACAGACAGGACTATTCTCGGGAATGGAGTTTTCTTTGACTCTAGACCAATGGCTCAGAACAGCCTCAGGGACCTCTGACCCCTGAGCCCTGCCTGTTTTTTTCCTGTCCTATTGGGGAAGATGGCAAGTAGGTCCTGGGGTGTTCATAGCCAGGGGCAGGGTGGGCACAGCAGGGAGGGACATACTTACCATAACCCTGAATGGAAGAGGAAGGCAGAACCCAGGACCTCTAAGAGGGACCAGAGCATTCCAAGCTAAGTTCTAAGTCTGCTCAGTCTATTGTGACCAACTGTAGGCTGGACAGTGACTCCTGTGACTTCAGACCCATGCCACTGGAGTGTGGGATAAGAGCTTCATGGTTTCCCAAAGACCAGTGATTCTCCACCCCAGGGGACTGCTGCACTTTTGTCGCTGAGAGCTGCTAATCTAATTGCTATTTGACGGATGGCTGTTGCTTCTGTAACAGGAATCAGGTCCACACCATTAATCGGAAGAACACACCTAGCATAGGACCCAACACAGGCTTGGACAGATTTGGCCTAGTGCCTCCTGGCCTTAATGCCCACACATTAAGACCTATGTGAAGGGAACTGAGTCTGTATGGATTCTGAGATAGATGATAAAGGAAATGGCCTTGTGTTCTTGTTTTTTTTTTTTTTTTTTTTTTTTTTGGGTGGGGTGGGGGGGTGGGGGGGGAGGCACAGGCAAGCATGTGTCGATGTCTGAAATTAGGCTCCAAGAAAAAGCTAGACTAGAGCAGGACCCCGGGGTGGGTCAATCGAGGCACTGGGATCTGAAGCCCATAACTGCGAATTTCCTTTTTTTCTTTCCTTCAGCGCGAGTCTGTGATGAGGGCTCTTGCTACACAAAAACCTATGTGGCGCCCAGGGTATTATATAAGCCCTTGGCAGGAGGGGAGATAGTCCGGTGTGTGCGCTTCAGCCGCCGCAGTCGCAGCAACCACAGCAAAGCAGCGAGAGCGGCTCAGGTTGATTTAGAACGCGGGTGACAGTGGCCTGGCGCGAGCCTAAGGCTGACGACAGAGGCTGATCCCGCTCGGTTTCCATGGAGACGGGCAGGAGCCGCGGCGGCGGCGGCGCGGCTGTCAGCGATCGCGGCGGCGCGCGCGCGGGGGTCTGCAGGAGGCAGGAGCAGGCCGGGGCCCTCGCTGCAGACATGGACTCGCATTGTGAGTGCACCGCGGAGACGCCCGCCGCAGAGCCGCCGTCGGGGAAGATCAATAAGGCTGCGTTCAAGTTATTCAAGAAGAGGAAATCGGGGGGCACCATGCCCAGCATTTTTGGGGTCAAAAACAAAGGGGATGGGAAGAGCGCGGGGCCGGCGGGAATGGTGAGAAGCAGGACCCACGACGGATTAGCGGAGGTACTGGTGCTGGAGGGCAGCAAGAAGGAGGAGCCGCCCGGCGGGGGCGATCACGGTGGGGCCCGGCCAAACCCCGGACCCCCCAAAGCCGCCGGGCCTGGCCTGGGCTCCCTAGCCAGCAGCTCGGTGGCCAAGTCCCATAGCTTCTTCTCCCTGCTGAAGAAGAACGGGCGATCCGAGACAGGCAAGGGGGACCCTGCCGAGGCGAGCAAGGCTGGCGGCAAACAAAAGAGGGGGCTGAAAGGGATCTTCAGCAGCATGCGCTGGCACCGGAGGGACAAGCGCGGCAAGGAGGAGGAGGAGGAGAAGGCTGCGCGCGCGGCGGGCCCGGGCAGCCTAGTCCTGCCCGGCTCGCTCACCGCCAGTCTGGAGTGCGTCAAGGAGGAGCCGCCCCGAGCCTCGCGCCGCCCGGACAGCCCGGGCCAGGACGCCCCGCGACACGCAGCAGGTGAGCCCGAAGGGGGAGAGCAGGCGCCCGCGTCTGCCGAGCGCGCCCCGGCGCGGACCTGCCTCGAGGCCGCGAGCCCCGCCGGCCCTGGCGACCAAAGCGCCCGGGGAGAGGACGCCGAGGGGCATTGGCGCGCGGAGAAGCCCGGGGCAGCCCTCGAGTCGGGAGCTGGTGAGGTCCAGGCGGCCGAGGATGCGTCCAGGACAGGTGACGTTCCGATAAAGACCGTCCCCCTTGTCGACTCCGAAGGTGGCAGCGGCCGGGCGTCTGCCGTCCCTGACCCTTCCTCTGTTGATCCACCCTCAGACCCGTCGGCAGATCGTATTTGTTTGATGTTTTCTGACGTGACTTCACTGAAAAGCTTTGACTCTCTTACAGGCTGTGGAGATATAATTGCAGACCCAGAAGAAGAGGCAGGCCCCAGCTGTGACAAGCATGCCCCCGGGCCAGGCAAACCAGTGCTCTCTAAAAAGAACCCCAGCGTGGTGGCCTACCAAGGAGGAGGGGAGGAGATGGCCAGCCCGGATGAGGTGGACAACACCTATCTCCCGGAATTCTGGGACATGTTGTCCCAGACTGAGGACCAAGGACAAGGGCCCCAAGAGGGTGCAGCGAAGGCGGCCACTGTTTCAGACACCAAGCTGGCCCCTGAGACCTCCAATGAGGCCCGGTGTGGGGAAGTAGCCAAGGACGTGTCCTCTGTCAAGCGCAGGAGGCTGCACAGGATCCCCATTGAGCCTCAGCAGAAGGAGGAGCCCAAGCAGCCAGAGAAGGAGCATCAAGAAGGCATCCCTAACAGTGATGAGGGCTACTGGGACTCCACCACTCCTGGCCCAGAAGAAGATAGCGCCAGCAGCAGTAAGAAGGCAGTCATCCCCAGGGATAGCGACAGTGGCGATGCTCTCTATGATCTCTACACTGAACCCGAAGGAAGCCCAGCTGCTCTTCCAGTCACGGAGGACCCACCCTGCTTGTCCCGGCTAAAGCCGGTGTCTCCAGGCACTATTACCTGTCCACTGAGAACACCAGGCAGCTTGCTGAAGGACTCTAAAATCCCTATTAGCATCAAGCATCTCTCCAACCTTCCATCCAGCCATCCTGTGGTGCACCAGCAACCAGCTAGGAGTGAGATGCCCAGAACAAAAATCCCCGTTTCCAAAGTGCTGGTCCGCAGGGTCAGCAACAGGGGTTTGGCTGGGACCACCATCAGGGCAGCAGCGTGCCATGACAGTGCCAAAAAGTTGTGAGGTCTCCAAGGCCAAGGATGATGGATGGCCCATATGTTAAGGAATACAACTTTCCCCTGGAAACCGCTGAAGGAAGTTTGCTTTGCCCAAAGCAAACAATTTAGGACCCACCCTTCTCCATATGGCCTAGAAGTCTTTGTTGGAGACAGGGGCAGGACACCCTGGAAGGGGAGTGTTATACCTGGAATTCAGATAAGTTCCTGAGAATTCTTTTCTAGCACTTTTCTTTTTCTTTTCTTTTCTTTTCTTTTTTTTTTTTTTAACCTTAAAAGAAAAAAAAAATCTGGTTTTTTTCCCCTTTAATTCATGGATCACTCAGAAGTCACCCTCCCTTGCCTTTGCAGAAAATAAGATTTAACCAAATCTAACAAAAGCATCACACCAGGATATCAGGCTGTTCTAGAGTCAAGAGGGCCTTGAGGAATCACTAAGCAACAGGATTCTTGCCTCTCTTTCCAGGAAAAAAAAAATACCCTTTGCTTATCACTGTGTGGGAAACCCCTGCAAAGCTCAAAGATCCACAGAGCTACTCAGTGAGAAGAGGGGATTGCTGACTGGCAGAAACCCCCCACGTTCAGTGGTCAGATATGCAAATAGGTAAAGATCAATTTACAAAAAAAGAAAGGTTTTAGTTTGGGTGGTTCAGATTATTTGTCTGAGGAGAAATAAAAGGCTCATGAGTAGTTTATGTGATATTTTTTGTTTTGTTTTGTTTGTGTATTTTTTGGGCCCACCCCCTCCCTCTCAGTGCAAAAATCAGGATCAGGGAAAGATCTCACTAAATGCTAATTACACAGTATTTTGTCATTTGTAAACTTCAACCTTCTTAATGTAGATAATGCATATTTTAACAGTTTGTCTTATGGTTAACATTGTACAATTCTGTCAATGATATAGAATTTAGAGTCTGGTCTTATGGCTGAATATGATGACAAACCATTGTGGTTCTTTATGTACTGTAGCCTAGGGCGGGATGCTTACAAATTATAAGGACTCTTTGCATATATATATATATATATGCGCACATCTGATGCCCTTAAACAATGGTTTGCCTGGCCTTGGTTAAGAGTCCATTTTTCAGTCCAAATCAGAGATTACACCTTGTTTATAAAATGTTGAATCCAACCATTTCCCTCAAGTTAGGATGTCCAAAATTAACATATCAAGAAATAATAGAAAAAAATACAAGTTTAAAACTATTCATTTGACTTTTGCTATATAAACCTCTGCCTGAGACAGGCGTGTTCTTCATGTGACACTGCCAAACCTAAGTATGTAAACATTATACTAAATTATTTTTGAGAAGTGCTTTGATTTGATATATGCTTTCTAGTATTTCAGCTGAAACCTTGCTGCCTTGGCAGTTTGAACAACACAGTGGAGGGGTTCCTCGAATGCTCTTAGTGTCTGCTAACTAAACTGATACCCTCTGGAGAGGCATTTAACTCAAAGGGCTGAAGCTTCTACCAGAGCTGCTGTGACACATCCGGAAGATGGCACATATCCCAGTGATCCTGCATGTGTGTGGATGATATGAGCACAGTGTAATTTGAGTTCTAGAGAGAGGACTAAGAAATGGTCTGCTATTTTGTGTTGTAAGATTTTAGTTATATTTTGTAAAAGAAAAAAGAAGCTAAATATATGAAAACTTATTTTAATAGTATGAAGGAAGCAAAAATAAGTGGGCATCAAGGAAAACTTGATAAGGCATAAAGGAACCTATTCCTGTTGCCAGTTTGTAGCAATTCCCTTAGAAGAGGGGGCAGAGGTCTGCTGTGTTCCTTAGTTAGATTACTGACTTTTACTGTGTTGTCTCAGGTCCTTGATGTTATCACAAAGCAATGCTTTAATTTTTAATTTCCTTGTGTCTAGAGATGAGACCCTCCAGGTATTCATCACCCCAAGCATTATGGGCTCATTATCGAAACCATACAAGCATCTCATACATGCTCAGGAATTCATCTGGATAAAAACTAACAGACAGAAAACATCTCAAAATAGTTGGGACTTGGTAATATTTTGAAAATTACTTCTGCCCTTGTAAGAAATTCGATTAATGTTGATAGAAATATTCAGACCCCAAATGCGTTTGTTTCCCTATAGAACCAGAGAGGATAGAAATTTTACTTCTAGCAGGAAAACAAAAGGAACTTTCTCCTTTGTGCTTTTCCCTTCAAAGATTATGTTCACCTTTGCACGACTCCATGGCTGGGTTTTGTTTGCACTTGTTCATCTGTGTGGGGAAGGTAGCATATGAAGAATGGGCTCAAACACTGTCAGAGGCAGGTGGTTACTGAAGCATCAGAAGCCACTCCTCCAAGTGTTCCCAGCTTGGAGGTTTATTTCGGCAGCCACCCACTATGCCACCCCCGATTTATAAGTGAAGGAAAATTTCAGCAATATTTACCTTGGCAATTAACCAGTTACAAAAAGACTTTAAATGTTTTATTTACAAAAATCTTTTCATCATGTTCCCCCACACACTTGATTTTTCTCTTTTATCCTGCACATTTAAGAACAGCACCGCTGCCAGTCCAGCAAAGGACTTGGCAGTGAACTAAATATCCTTAGTTGTTAGCAGTTAGGATAGTGGTCAGCTTTCTCCAAACACAGAAAAGGGATTAGAATTGCTTTCTTGAGCCAAGAGTTACTTTGTCTTATCTGTGTTTGCAAGAAATTTCTAGCTATACATGCAACTGTTTATGAGTGTGTTATCTAATTGTCCTCTGAATAATGGACAGGCTTCTTTGCTGACTTTTTTAGAGAAAGGTCAGACACGAGCGAGTGAGATTTCTTGTTATGTACAGTCTTAAGGGCCATTGGGTTGGCACCCTTTGGGTAAAGAACAGCCTAAAACAAGAGGGCAAAAAGCCAAATCATTTGTTGGGCCGGAATTTTTTCAGTTTAGTGGCTCTGCACAAAGACAGCTTGTCTTTAATATCCCCAACACATGCACACACACACACACACACACACAGAGACACACACACACACCCCACTTAAAGTCAATTCAGTTCTGCCTTGGCTCTGCTATCATTGGAGGCCCTCATTCTCCTCTATCATGTAGTGGGAGACGTTTCATTTCCTACAGCATTGCAAATGGTCACTGGAGGAAATAAATTTTTATTATTTCATGTAACAACAATGGAATACAGATAATCAGGACTCCCTTGAGATGCATTTTGCACAAAACTTACCTGCCTACTGACATGCAAATATATACTCGATGTGTAATCTGTGCAGACGGATGTCTTGCCCAGCTTAAAGGGCTTACTCACTCACCTTAGTTGTTTTTAAATTCATTGAAACTAATATGCAAAGAGTCTTTTGCTGACTCAGTTGACAAGGTCAAAGGCTCTATCAGGTGTTAAGATTTCTTTGGCCAAACTTCCTAAGATCTCTCTGGGGAAGGTCTTTATTAAGAGTATCATCTGAAGAGGTTGACTCATGTGGCTTGATCTCTCCCTTTGTTCATCATAGTTACCTGCCGCCCTGGGATAGTGAGACTATGATGTTCCCCGTGTTGTTGGCCTTCTGGACCATGTTGGTATGTTTTGCTCCCTCCTTGCATTCAGTCATTGTAAAATGTCTTCCTTGCACTGGGAGAGTGAGGACTTGGATCACTGTGCTTGGCCTCTATTGAGACACAAAGAGTCTCCTCCACTCAGCTTCCCTCATGAGTGCTGAAAAATCAACTCAAGAATTTTTCAATTGCCGCTCGTTTTCACCAAGATGACCAGTTAGAAGGCTCTGCATAAGAGAATCCAAATACCTCAGTTAACCTTGGTTCTTTCCTTTCTCGGCCCACTAAGAAAGGATTCAAGGATCTGGGTAAACTCAGCCTTGGGATTTTAATTCACTATACAAAACTATTGACAAACCAGTGAGGAACGAACAAGGTCTAAGCAGAGTGTCCCTTAGATGTGTGTGGTGGAGGGGACTGCTCGGGAGAACCTCAGGGTGCTCAGTGTGTCCTCAGCGTGGTCGCTGATAGTGCCACCTGGCTCTGCTCTTGAGGCTTTCGGTGGCTGTTAGTTCTGGAGTGCTTCTCTGGGCCTTCCACTCTGGTGATTGGTTCAAAGTAAAGAGTTTGCTGCAACAACAGCCACTTAGAAAGGAAGTGATTGCTCCATCTGCAGACAGATGAAGCCTTCAAAAGGTGGTTTGGAATTGAATTAGGGAGAGGAAGGAGTTCTTTCTTCAAATGAATAGGGGGAGATTAAAATGTCACAAGCCTCCAGTTGACAACAGCTTCTATAATATTGACTTGAATCCAATGCAATGCAGATTTTGAGGATATTCACTGTATCTAATACTTAATTTTTTTTTAAATCCACTTGGGGGCTTGTATGTTGCTGTGCTGTTATTGGATTCTTTTTCAATATTCATTAGAACACTTTAATCTGATTCATCTCACCTTTGTATGTTTTGCATTTGTACGTATTGCTTATAGTTTGTATGTTGGAGCAGAATGTTGATGAATCAAGTCACACAAATGCTTCTAAAACTTGTGACAGTGTCCAGCCCTTGCTCAACTCTTCTGTGTGTCAGTGCTCCTGGGCGCACTACTGAGTAACTCCTCAGCCATATGAGGTGACATTGTCTCCTTGATAGGACTTTAATTTGAACTTTTTGTTCCTTCTGATCCTTTCACTGAAGGCTTGCTCTCTGTATCTCCCTCTTTCCCTAGTATCTGGGGCAGGGTTGTTAACTATTTAGTGTCCTGTGGTAACACAAGAACTAAGAGCTGCTGAAGTCATTGACCTCACTTCACTTCTAACAGGAAAAGGTAACTCACATCCAAGCTGATGCAATTAGCTTTGTGTCTAAGACATTGGTACTTGGGTCACACACAGGGGAACCTGTAGCCAAAGGTCCATAGGCAAACAATTGGCTTCCTTCTCTTTGGAGCACCCTCTCCTTCCAGGGATTAACATGGAAAGTACAGACAGCTGGCTCTTCTGTTGTCATGACAACACTTCTTCCCTGATAAGATTTTGGCCAGTCCAGGCACGCTTCACTTGCTTTCCTACCTTAAGCTTAGACTAGCCTTGTTTTGAGTATTCAGCATGAAGTGTGCCCTCTTCGGTGTTTACATGTACGGTACAGTGCATGTGACTATTGGCACACACCTGTAGCAGACCTCTAGAACTTACACATACTGCAGTAATGGACATTTTATGGCTCACTGATTAGTCCTGCCCCTCCTCCAGCCCTGATAACCACCATTCTGCTC